AGTCTTAGGAAGTTTAGTAGCATAAATGATATATAGAATACTTTCTGTCTTCTTTTGTAATCCCTACAATATGTATTACAAATTACTTTATCAAAGCTAATAAACAAGGCTGAGTCAGCGGAAAAAAAAAATTATATTATTACATAACTCTTTTCACTGATCCTTTGACAATATACAAAAAAGATGTTTGTAAGAAGTTTTTATACTTCTTAGCTAAAAAAGTCTTTTCACTTTCCTTAAAACAATCTGAAGTTTCTTTCCAGAGTTATTATTCTTTCCTACTTGTTTGTAAACTTCTTTGAACAAAAACTTGAGTTTTTAAGATGCACCTTTAAAAATTAATTTCTATATAGTATTTATTCTCAAATATCTATATGAGAAATTATTATATTTTAAAATAAATAAGGCTAATAACACTAGTTAAAATAAATAAGGCTAATAACATTAAAAAGTATACTATTACAAATATTTCCCATTGTGCTTCATAAATTTATATTTTTTGGCCATGTCAAAATCGGAGTGATCCTTTAGTAAAGTTTCAAGAGTTATACAATACTCAGAATAGGATTTTTCGAGGGAATGGCACGTTAGGGGAGTGGCCAAATATTTTCGCGCAAGTTTAGACATGACGGGAAATTCGTTTTCGTGTTGACGCCACCACTCGATAGGATCAGTGGATTTACTTTGATTACCTAACATAATATATCTTCCGAATTCGTCGTCTAAACTGGTCGCTGATCCACCTGCCTTTAGATATTCAGACTTAATCTTTCCAAGGAATCCTTCGTTATAATTGCACGTATTCTATTATAAAAATGCAAAAATAAATAAATATATATTTAGAATAGCGTGCAAGTAATTATAAACCTTCTTACCTCAATACATTCTTGACATTCATTATATTCATCTTTGGTTTGTGGGTTGAAGAATAGGAGTTTACGGTAGATATTGTTAATAAAATTAAATTCTTCATAAATTTCTTCAGCGATAAGTCGAATAATATAATACTCCTGATCTACAGATTCGTCACAAGGAGTTGGTAATTCCCAAAATTTACGAAGGGTGCGAAAGAATTCGACCCATAAAGTGCCACACATGTATCTAATTCCGTTGAATTTTAGTTTTTGAATTATGACCCCTAATGGTTTTGTATATGAATTTAATCGTGTGAATAATTTAATTATTATAGTATCTGGAAGTAAACTATTCAAATTTTGTGCGGTTTCTGAATTAATAGAATGTGCGTTAATCTTAAGTCGGATCGGATCCTCTAATATTACTATATATTCTAATACATTTAAAATAAATGTTAACTCATAATAATTGTCACATTTTAAATCATCTATTTTGTCTCCAAGTATCTCTCCAAGAAGTTCCCGCTCCGATTCGATTAAATAAATAACCAAATCTCTAGCTTTTTTTATATTAGTGTCCATTTTATCGAATAAAATTTCTGCTTTTTTGTCATAGCTTATTATTACTCTACGAAAAAACCCCTCTTCGTTCTTCAAATTCAAGAGACGTTTTGCGACGCATTCAAAACTTTGAACCACACAATATAGATATATATCATCTTTATAATTTTTTGACCTCTTATATCTGCCACATCCTTCTATATTTTTTAAAGTTATTGAACTAACTCGATGCCTCTCTTCTTTTCTCGTGGGGTATTGGTGGATCATCCCGTTGCGGTAAGTAGGGATGGTCGGAGACACATGATCGAAGTTTATGGGTGACCTAACTTTTTCATCCAACTTCCATTCACCTATGATTTTTTTAATGTAATTAGGGAATTCAGGAGTTTCACTATCATAAAAAAATGACCCTTCTTCGGCTCGAACAATATCTAGAAGAACTTCGTGTAACTGAAAATCATCAGAAATCCAATGACAAGTTGTCTCCGTATAAGAACCGTAATTTCCAAGCTTCCAAGTTACAATTGCTAATGATACAGATTCAACCTGTTGAAGCATATTCCGTAGTTTAGAAAGCAGTTGATTATAAGAATTAACCATTTGTGAATTTGTCAATTTGGGGGGTTGATAGATCTTAATGGGCAAAAGGGATAGTTCTTTCTGTTTCTTAAATTTTTTTTTTCTACGATTCTCAATGAGACCTTTAGATTGTTTATTTGCATTTGCATTAACATTGTGGGTTGTTAAATGATATCTTAATGATGAAGTAGCACTCGAATAGGATAACTCCTTCCTACATCCGGGAAATTTACACATCACTTTACGAGTTTCACCGGGTGAAGGGTATGGATCTGTGAAGTAATTCCAAACTTGACTTCTTCTTTTACCTCCATCATTTGAAGTACTTGGATCAGAATGTGTATTATCATCTTTATTATTGCAAACCAAATATTCAGGTGAATTAGAAAATAAGGTATCCGAAGAATTTCCGTAGGATGTCATTTTCGCGGATCAAAATTATCAAAAGCTCAACTTGTATTTATTTAAACTGGGTTAGTCGACTCGGTTAACGGTTAATTAGTTGATTTCCATTTGTGGTTTAATCAGGTATTACTAATTATGAGGTAAAAATTTAATAATGATTTTGAAAGGTCTGTATGCGCATCATACAGTGTATACATGTCACACATACGTGAATATTATAATCGAACTTGCTGTATGTATAGGTCAACTCTGAATTTCAGTACTTTTAGTTTAGAGTTTTTATCATATAAAAACTATTTAAAATTCAAAAGCTCAACTTGCATTTATTTAAATTGGGTTAGTCGACTCGGTTAACCAAATTATGCAGTCTCCTTCCTTGTTCAGTTTACAATTTAATTTGATTTCCATTGGTGGTTAAGAAGTGCATCGGTTTTGAAAAGTCGGGATATGCATACACAATACATAGATCGGATTTTATGTACAGATTAGGACTTTTTTTTTTGCATATTATATTATTACAGTATATTTGACAGCATATTTGTCACCTTATGCTTTTCCAGCATATCAGTTATAGCATATTATATAATTTGTGCAGTCAGCACAGTTTTTTCTGATCGTCTATTTTTAAAAAAAAAATTACGTCACAATCAAAAATTTTTTTCTTAAAAATAAATCACAAAATAGATTTTAAATTCTAATACATTGTATAATTATTATTAGACTTGATTAATGTATCCATGCTATATACCAGTTTTATAGTGAATTTGAATAAGAAAGGATTCTATTTTTGCAATTTACTAATTGATCTTATTTTTTTTTTTTCATATTTAATTTTAATACTAGTTAAAAAATATTAATTTGACATAATGTCACTTATATAACATTTATCAAAAAAATAAATAATTTAACAAATTAATAAAGTAAATAAATCATCAATTAATTTCTATTATATAATTTAGCATTATTTTCCATATAATTTATATTATTTGTATTATATATTTCATTAAAAATTTTTTAAAAAAATTATTATTTTTACTTTGACATCTGCTAAAATTTTAATTTTATTAAAATTTACATATTTGTCAAATTTTTAATTATATATTGTATTTACTATTTAAAGAAATCACAAATAAATATTTATAAAAATCTTATCAATTTGAGATTTTATATTTAAATTAAGTAAATCAATTAAAATATTACAAATAGGGATTATACATTTATGTCTAATTAAATAAAATTTAATGCTCTATAATTTAACATTCACATTATTTTCAGATCTAAAATAAAATTTATTTTCTGTTGAATTAATCAATTTGTATTATTGAATAAAGATCAATTGATATTTAATAATATTATTCAAAAAGTTTACAGAATATATAAAGAAGAATTAAACTTGCCTCAAATATAAATTAACACTTTTATCATAATTTACAAATTAAGCTAATATAAACAAACTTTTAATATTTTATGAAAATATAACAGAATAAAATATTTCATTTTTAATTCAGTATCTATTATATCAATCTATTTCATTTTAAATAATTATTATTTTTTTATTATTTTTTATAAATATTTTTCAAAAGTATATAGTTTTATAAAATACTTTATAGTATTTAACTAATAAATTTAATATTTTGATATATAGTTCTAAATTAGATTTTTTTAGATATAGGAGTTCATCTGAAAAATATTTGAATATATTGATAATTAATTTGTGAATATTATATGGGTTGTTTAAAAATCAATATAATATGTTAATTAAAGTTCAAAAATTGAAATAATATTTGATCAATTATTTAAAATTTCAAGCTTTTAATTATTAGAATAGAATATAATTAAATTAATAATTTAATAATTATTCATTAATCTTTATATTAATTTAAGTTCAATATTTCAGTAACTATTAGATAATGAATTTAGATTAAAAATTTGTTAGAATTATATTTCTAAATATTAAATTTGTTTAAAAACTTATCTAATATACTGTATATTCATTCTTATAAATAAAAAGCATTAAAATATATAATATATAATAGCCTATTTTTTTTTTTTTTTTTAAGCTGGCTCGGCCTTGTTTATTAGCTTGATAAAGTAATATGCAACTGTACATTGTAGGG